CGCCACAACGCGCGGCCATTTTTTGGTTGCAGCCATCATTGTTGCTTGGCGGGCCTGGGCTGGAGATTCGAACCCGCCACCTTGGGTGTACGTGGCTGGCGCCTTAGCCGCTTGAGCCACAGGCGCCGAGCCTATGTCTGAGTCTTGAAAGATGCACCTAGGTTTGCTGTTGCAGAATAGTTGCTCAGAATACCTCACAGAAAGGAACTCAAGGAGGTGTCTAAAAATAAACCAAGAGATACAGTGTGGCGTAAAAGCCTGTGTTTACAGAAAATGTAATCAGTTGGGTTTTCACCCACTTAGCCATAGCATTCAGATTTTTCTGTCATTTAAGTAAAAAAGGACTTTGAACGAAGAGGTTAAAGAATCAGATGATGATTTAGAGAGTTTTGCAGTGGAAACTACTGAGGCTACATTCTAAATTAATTGAAGTTCTTGATTTAGGACTGAATAGAGAGGTGGAAAATACTCAAGTTTAGAGCTGTAACCAGAGATACTGATCATAATTGAGGATTAAAAAAGGCAGATAATTATTTTGTGTTCTATCTTAGGTTTCCTTTTTAAATCCAGGCTTTCTCTATCATCTTTTAAAATGGTTTGCTAATAGTTTAAACTTCCATTCAGCTATTCTCATTTATGGATTATACTTCTAAAAATTAGGCTCTGGAAAATTCTAGTCATAAATCTAGCAGCCATGAGCAGGAAGCCACAAGAAAACTTTTATTTAAAAAGTATGTCCTTTTGGAATTTGACCATCTGACCTACATTCTTTTAATTGTGAGCTAAGAAGGAAAGCTTTTTAGTGCTGATTTAATTAAGCCAGTGAAGCCTTTGTTAGCCTCACTTTCCAACAAAATGAATTTATTTGTAAACGTCAATTTTGGGACAGAAAATAGGAATTCAATTTAACTAGATCTCTATAATTATCTTATTTCAGTCAGTGCTTCTTACTATTAACAGAAACAGTGAGATGTGATACAGAATTTTCTTAAAGAAAGATGGATCTTTATGATTCTGAGCCTCTGATTTTGAGTTTCATGAAAATTCTAATGAATAAGCTAGTGTCTATTAGTTTCATAACTAGCATGAATGTAATATATTTATTAACTTTTATACAAAGCAAAAAAGAAAAGAAAAGGCTTGTGTAATTGCCTAATAGATTTAGGCAATATCAAATCAAAAACAGTTAAGGACATTCTTGGTTCATAATAAGAGACTTTTCCTAATCCATCTACTTTCTTTTTTTTTTTTTTTTTTTTTTTTTTTTTTTTTTT